AGTATAAATATTCAGACTCATCTCAGTGGGATTCTGCATGTGTAGTGGTTAAGAACATGGGCTCGCCAGGCGTGATGGCTCATGCTTGTAATCCCAGCACTTTGGGAGGCCAAGGCGGGTGTATCACCCAAGCTCAGGAGTTCAAGACCAGCCGGGACAACATGGTGAAACCCCATCTCTACTAAAAATACAAAATTAGCCCAGCATGGTGGCACATGCCTACAGTCCCAGCTATTTGGAAGGCTGAGGCAGAAGAATCGCTTGAACCCAGGAAGCAGAAGTTGCAGGGAGCCAAGATCACACCACTGCACTCCAGCAAGAAAGAAACTTCATCTCAAGATATAAAAATTTAAAAAATAAAATAAAAAAGAACATGGGTTCTTCACCTACAGTCCAGTCTCTACCAGGCAACCCAGCCCTCACCCAGGGCCTGGGTCAGTGCTGGCCACATGACCACTGTGCACTAAACATCGATTATACCTGAATGAGTGAATGAGCTCTGGAATCAGATTGCTTGGGTTGGAACCCACCTCTAATACCCACTAATTGTTTAATTTTGGAAAATTTCTTTTGCTGACTGAGATACCGTTTCTTCACTTGTAAAGTTCAGATTACAGTAGCTATTGGGGGAATTCAGCAAGGCACATACCTGGCCTGGAGTGTCTGCTCGGTATCTGTTATCAATACCTCTTTTAGTATCTTACCATTCCTCAAGACAAAGATCTGCAGTCTCTCAACCTCTCTAATTTGCTTGAAGAAAGCGTGGAGATTGCTACTGTTTTGTTGGCTTGTTTGTTTCAGAGACTGGGTCTGGGTCTGGCTGTGTTGCCCAAACTGGATTTGAACCCTGGGCTCAAGCAATCCTCCTACCTCAGAAGACTACTGATTTACGTGTTTTCATTAAGTAGGAAATGGAAAGGTTGGCAGGAAATTTTTTTTTCACCTTACTTGTTTTTTGAGAACCAGTTTGACTAAACAGTTAGGTAGACTAGTCCCATCTGTTCTGAGATTAATGAATTTGGGTTGCTTACTACTGCCACAGGGATGAGTCACTTTAAAGAAAAGCAGTTTAATGAATTACAGATGTATCCAGCTTCTCAAATGTTTCCAGTTTCTACCCACGTGAATACAGCCTGGTCTAGAGCCCAATTCTACTGTTCCCCACATTGTGGTCTACATAAAGAAAGGATTAAATGCATATAGATCTGAAAAGACTCTCCTTTTCGAAGTTGCCAGGATGATGACTGACTCTCTTCCCACTCAGAGCACTGCCAAATGGGTCAATGTTAATACCTTCATTGCCCTTTTTACTCCTTCCTGGCAGAAAAGTTAACACATAGCTAACATTCAAATTCTTAGTATGAACCAGACAAGGATAGAGCTTTTTACACATATTAATCATTACAACCTCCCATAAGGTATGCACAGTTTTATACCCATTTTTGGTTGTTTTTGTTTCTTTGGTTTAGTTTTTTTGGGTTTTTGTTTGTTTGTTTTTTGTTGTTGTTTCAGAGAGGGTCTCCCTCTGTCACCCAGGCTGGAGTGCAGTGGCATTATCTTGGCTCACTGCAGCCTCCATCTCCTGGGTTCAAGCCATTCTCCTGCCTCAGCCACCCAAGTAGCTGGGATTACAGGTGTGCGCCAACACACCTAGCTAATGTTTGTGTTTTTAGTAGAGACAGGGTTTCACCATGTTTGCCAGGCTGCTCTTGATCTAATGACCTCCAGTGATTCGCCTACCTCAGCCTCCCAAAGTGCTGGGGTTTATAGGCTTGAGCCACTGCACCTGGTCTTACACCCATTTTTATATGACAAAATCAAGGTTTGGGAAGGTAAGATGACTTGTTCAAGGTCACATATCCTGAACACAGCTGAGCCCATGACTCCTATGTACTACCATAGGTGGCTGCACTGCAGAGGAGAGATCTATTTCAGTTACACTGCGAGGAGCAAAGTGAGAGCATCTAAATCACCCACCATGACTCTTTTCCCCTCAAACTGAAAAGGAATGTTTGTTTAATGAGAAATAGAAGATGTGCTAAGAATGTTAAGTGATTTCACATCAGGTGTCTGTTTCTCATTTTGAAAAATTTTGAGTGCTGGACACGGTGGCTCATGCCTGTAATTCCCAGGACTTTGGGAGGCCAAGGTGGGCAGATCACCTGAGGTCAGGAGTTCGAGACCAGCCTGGCCAATAAGGTGAAACCACATCTCTGTTAAAAATACAAAAATTAGCTGGCATGGTGGCATGCACATTTAATCCCAGCTACTCAGGAGGCTGAGGCAGGAGAATCACTTGAACGCAGGAGGCAAAGGTTGCAGTGAGACAAGATGAGCCACTGCACTCCAACCTGGGCAACAGAGTGAGACTCCATCTCAACAACAAAATTATTTTGTACTTCCCTCAGTTTATACATATATTCAAATAACTTTTAAGGGGGAATGATTTTGTAATGAAAGAGCATTTTCTCACATCTAATCATGTAGAACTTTTCAGCTGGGCATGGTGGCTCTCCTCTGTAGTCCCAACACTTTGGGAGGCCTAGGTGGGAAGATCGCTTGAGCCCAGGAGTTCCAGACCAGCCTAGCTTGGTGAAACCCTGTCTTTAAAAAAAAAAAAAAAAGCCGGGCGCAGTGGCTCACGCCTGAAATCCCAGCACTTTGGGAGGCCAAGGCGGATGGATCATGAGCTCAGGAGATCGAGACCATCCTGGCCAACATTGTGAAACCCTGTCTCTAAAAAAAAAGAAAAAAGAGTTTTGTCATTTAAAAAATATATACAAAAATTAGCCAGGCATAGTGGTGGCACCTATAGTCCCAGCTACTCAGGAGGCTGCAGTGGGAGGATTGTTGGAGCCCAGGAGCTCAAGACGGCAGTGAGCCGAGATTGCACTACTGCACTCCAGCCTGGCTGACAGAAGAGGACCCTGTCTTTACAAAAAAGGAAAGAAGTTCACAGAAGACTGAGACCCTAGAGTTAAAAATAAAGAAAAATAAAATTTAAAATGAAAAAAAGTAGCACTTTCCATGTATACTTTTTACAGGCTCATTCCATTGTACAGTTAAAGTATCAAAATTGTTGATAGATCCTAGATATTATGAAAGGAATGCCCAAGGTATGTAGCCTTGGATCTAATATTGAAATATATAGAATTGTTTGAGATTTAGCACTTCTTCCCTTCTATCAAGTAGTTTTCTACATGGGAAAAAAAAGAAACTTCCTGAAGATGTGTCCAATTTTATATATATAATGGCCAGGCTGGTCCTGAACTCCTGACCTTAGGTGACCCACCCACCTCGGCCTCCCAAAGTGCTAGGATTACAGGCGTGAGCCACCGCTCCTGGCCCCAATTTTATATCTTAGTAACAGTTTCCAAAACCTGCTGTTTACAACATGATCTACCTATGAAAAGTAAACTCAATGGTAAATATTGAATAACAAGTAGACTCTTGAAAATATTTAGCAATCACAACTGAAACTGTATTTATTCTATGCCTTAAATGATTATAATTTATGAAATATTCACATCCAAGAACGTGTGTCTTACAGGTTAATTTACACATAACATACACCATGTGATTGCATTTTATGCATATTAAAAATATTAATACAATAAAATATAACTCACTTTAAGAAGTCTGTCTAAAGTAATGAAAAAAATTTTAAGTCATCACAAATGATGTAATGTCAAAGTGTGAAGCAAAATGAGTTGTAACTGTATATATATTTTTTTTTTTTTTGAGACTGAGTCTTGCTCTGTCACCCAGCTGGAGCAATCTCAGCTCACTGCAACCTCCACCTCCTGGGTTCAAGTGATTCTTCCACCTCAGCCTCCCAAGTAGCTGGGACCACGGGCACGTGCCACCACGCCCAGCTAGTTTTTGTATTTTTAGTAGAGACAGGGTTTCACCATGTTGGCCAGGATGGTCTCAATCTCTTGACCTCATGATCCACCCGCCTTGGCCTCCCAAAGTGCTGGGATTACAGGCGTGAGCCACCACGCCCAGCCATTGTAACCCATATTTAAGCTATTGCTGCAAATATATCTGCTGGTCAAGCAGAAATATTTGTCTTCTTTTATCAAAGTGAGTATTGGATTACACAAGGTCTTCAAAAACATGTCTTTCTTCGTCGGACTGGCAGCTCATGCCTGTAATCCCAGCATTTTGGGAAGCTGAGGAAGGCTAATCACTTGTCAAGAATTGGAGATAAGCCTGGGCAACATGGCAAAATCCTGTCTCTACTAAAAATACAAAGATTAGCCAGTGCGGTGGCGCAGGCCTATAATCCCAGCTACTCAGGAGGCTGAGGCACTAGAATTACTTGAATCCAGGAGACAGAGGTTGCAGTGAGCTGAGATCGAGGCACTGCACTCCAGCCTGGGTGACGGAGTGAGATTCAGCTTTAAAAAAAAGAAAGGAAAAAACCCAACCCCATATCTTTCTTTTTCTTTTCTTTTCTTTTTATTTTTTTGAGACAGTCTTTATCTCCTAGGCTGGAGTGCAATGGTGTGATCTCAGCTCACTGCAACCTCCACCTCCTGGGTTCAAGCGATTCTCCTGTCTCAGCCTCCCAAGTAGTTGGGATTTTAGGCTCCCACCACCACGCATGGCTAATTTTTTGTATTTTTAGTAGAGACGAGGTTTCACTGTGTTAGCCAGGCTGATCTCAAACTCCTGACCTCAAGTGATCCGCCCACCTTGGCCTCCCAAAGTGCTAGGGTACAGGCATGAGCTACCACGTCCGGCCATCTTTCTTGTATAATGTTACCATTCTGCATTACTTGCCATAAATCACATTGCATAATATGTTTGGTTCCCTAAAAAGAAATTAGTTCTCGGCCAGGCGCAGTGGCTCATGCCTGTAATCCAAGCACTTTGGAGGCCAAGGCAGGCGGATCACCTGAGGTCAGGAGTTCAAGACCAGCTTGACCAACATGGTGAAACCCCAACTTTAAAAAAATAAAATAAAATTAAAAAAAAAAAAGAAATTAGTTCCCGTGCTCACTTCGGCAGCACATATAGTAAAACTGGAACGATACAGAGATTAACGTGACCCCCTGCACGAGGATGACACACAAATTAGTGAAGCGTTCCATATTAAAATAAAGTAGGCTGGTCGCGGTGGCTTGCACCTGTAATCCCAGCACTTTGGGAGGCCGAGATGGGTGGATCACCTGAGGTCGGGAGTTTGAGACCAGCCTGACCAACATGGAAAAACCCCATCTCTACTAAAAATTCAAAACTTAGCCAGGCATGGTGGCAGTCGCCTGTAATCTCAGCTACTCAGGAGGCTGAGTCAGGAGAATCACTTGAACCTGGGAGGCGGAGGTTGCAGTGAGCCAAGATCATGCCATTGCACTCCAGCCTGGGCAACAGGAGCAAAACTCTGTCTCAGAAAAAAAAAAAAATAACTAATAAAATAAAGTAAAAAGAAGAAATAAAACATATTTAAAAAGAAAGAAGAAATTCGTTCTAAGTCATGCAGATTTACAGAAATAAACTGTCAGTTCTATGGGAAAGTCTGACCTGCTGTTTCCTGGGGCCAGCAAACTGCTTGGAGGGAGGGTAAAGGGTGAATCTTGCCATACATTATTTTCTGTTTTCTTTTTAAAAGATTTTCTTATTTTCTAATTTACAAAGGAGGCTGGGCATGGTGGCTCACGTGTGTAATCTCAGCACTTTGGGAGGCCGAGATAGGCAGATCACTTGAGGTCAGGAGTTCGAGACCAGCCTGACCAACATGGTGAAACCCTGTCTCTACTAAAAATACAAAAACATAGCTGGGTGCGGTGGTGCACACCTGTAATCCCAGCTACTCAGGAGGCTAAGGCAGGAGAATTGCTTGAACCCAGAAGGTGGAGGTTGCAGTAAGCCAAAATTGTATCAGTGTACTCCTGCCTGGGGGACAGAGCAAGACTCCATATCAAAACATTTACAAATGAAACTATGCACTGTTTTCTTAGGCATGTTGCTGAAGCTCCAGTTCTCCCATGTTTACCTACCACATTTTAAAAATAGGTAGGAAAGGCCTGGTGCGGCGGTTCACACCTGTAATCCCAGCACTTTGATAGGCCAAGGCGGGTGAATCACGAGGTCAGGAGTTTTAGACCAGTGTGGCCAATATGGTGAAACTCTGTCTCTACTAAAAGCACAAAAATTAGCCAGGCATGGTAGCACCTGCCTGTAGTCCCAGCTACTCGAGAGACTGCGGCAGAAGAATCTCTTGAACCAGGGAGGCAGAGGTTGCAGTGAGCCAAGGTTGTGCCACTGCACTCCAAGCCTGGGTGACAGAGTGAGACTTCATCTCAAAAAATAAAAATAAAATATAAAAATAGGTAGGAAAATTTAATTTTTTCACCGATTGTCTTAACCAGTCAGAACAGGAAATCTTTTAAATTAAATTTACAGCAGTTCAAAGAGTTTGGGAAGTAAGAATAACCTCAAGCCAATCAGATATTTTACATAATTACAATTTTGTATTAAAATGGAAGAATACAGATAAAGGATGATTTCAGTACCAAAGATAAAAATTATATGTTTAGTCTGGGCGCAGTGGCTCATACCTGTAATCCCAGCACTTTGGGAGGCTGAGGAGGGCAGATCACAAGGTAAAGAGAGAACTTCCTGGCCAACATCGTGAAACCCTATCTCTACTAAAAATACAAAACATTAGCTGGATGTAGTGACACACGTCTGTAGCACGTCTCCCAGCTACTTGGGAGGCTGAGGCAGGAGAATCACTTGAATCCAGGAGGTGGAGGTTGCAGTGAGCCGACATCGAGCCACTGCATTCCAGCCTGGCGACAGAGTGAGACTCTGTCCAAAAGAAAAAAAGGTTTAATACTAATTTTAATGATTCCAGCAATAATATTAGCTTTATAAAGGTATACTTAAATAATAATAATGATCTTTGAATTGTTCTCTCAAACATCACTCCTGGCAGAAATGAATTATATATAGTACTGACTTTCATAGTTTAAGGGAAGATAATAGTTTTAGAAAAATACTCATCTTTTCTTTAAAAAAAAAAAAAAAATCCCATGTTGTGATTCCCCCACTGCTAGTCACATTTTAAAAGGCCCAAACCCAAATGTGTTTTGTCATTTTACCCTAGGAAACTCAATGATTTTGCTTCTTTATTCTTCAAGATTATTCATCCAGGCATTGATAGGCCTAAGCACAAGTTCATGTAAACTAGAGGCTATCATAAGCGGTGGTTTGGAAAGCTACATTATATACTTAACAAATGTGAAATGTTAGGCTAGGTACAGTGGCTCACGCCTCTAATTCCAGCACTTTGGGAGGCCAAGGTGGGTGGATCACCTAAGGTCAGGAGTTTCAGACTAGTCTGGCCAACATAGCAAAACCCCATCACTACTAAAAATACGAAAACTGGTTGGGCATGGTAGTACATGCCTATAATCCCAGCTACTTGGGAGGCCGAGGCAGGGGAATAGTTTGAACTTGGGAGGCAGAGGTTGCAGTGAGCCGAGATGGAGCCACTGCACTCCAGCCTGGGCAACACAGTGAGACTCCATCTCAAAAAAAATAAGTGAAATATAAAACTCTTTTTTTATACCTCCAAGCTCAAGCAGGCAGGGGGAATCCTTAGAGCAGATTAGACTTCCACGGGCAAATTATTTATCCTAGTCAATCTAGATCTACCAGATAACTATAGAATCCTCCAAACTCCAAAGCCTTGGTCAACCTACCATCACCATTGGCATCACTGGGAGCTCATTAAAAATGTAGAATCTCAGGTCCCACCCCATACTTAATGAATCCAAATCTGCCCTTTATACCGAGACCCTCAGGTAATTTGAATGCATATTAAAGTTTGAAAAGAACTGATCTCATGAAATCTTACAGCTAACGCAGAGACCTAGGAGAACAAGACTTCAAAAATTGAAAAGAATGTCTGTAAAATGCTGGAGGCAAGAAAATAAGAAAAAAATAAAAGAGTGACTTTGGGGGAAGAGTTCATATATCATTTCATTTTTCTTTTTTATGCCTTGCTTTGAAAAGCCACCATTATCTTGGCATGCTTTAGATGGAAACCATTTACTGCATAAGATTTCTGTTCATGTTCTTAAATAAGCAAAAATAACTCCTCTAACCCCTACCACTCACTGTGCCTGGCCCTTTGAAATGTGTTTCTTGCTGACGTGCTTGTTTCTCCTTTCCAGTCCTGACACAGCTCTCCCTGAGGAGCAGCCACATTCCAGCTCCCAGTGTGCCCCTCTCCACTGTCTCTCCAAGCCTCCCCACCCCTAGTCTTCATCTCCTGTGGACGGACATCTGGGGAGGAAGTTTTGTAGCCACACACAGGATACTGCCCAAGATCAAGCGGGTGTTTTCTTCTTGGCTGTTAGATGTACAATCGGATTACTGTCCATTGTTTTGGAAGATGAGAGAAAGTTAAGAAGAAGAACACGAAGCACAGACCCTGATGTGATAAAACATTTTGTGGTTTCTCTGAGTCTCAGATAAACTTCTGCCATTAAATGGCTACAGTTTATTTAAATTAAAAAAAAAAAAAAAGAAACAGGAGACATGTCTCAGATGGCTGGCTTTACCTCGATAGCATAGGAGAGACCTAAGATGTGTAAAATACATATACTGTAATATCATCTTTCCTCACACTCCAAATTCAGCTAGGGAAGTTGATTCCAATATTTTTGTCATTGATATTTATTTTGTACTTTATTTGCTACATGATTTATGTCTATAAAAATAATTTCTCTGAGGTGAATTTAATTCATTTATTTTTCAGATATTTGCTCAAGTATGAGTTTGAATTTAGTTTGAAATCTGGAATTGGCCAGACTGGTCATTTTTCTTGCACAAAATGATAAATGAGGTGCATCAGAATGTTAACAGTAACTGTATTTTGCTGCTATGCTGGTATTGTTTATGCACTTATTTTCTAATCAGTAGCTCATTAACTGCTGGGTTTTGCTTTTGTATTTTTACCTAGAGTTCTTCACTGGACATTACTAAGTAAATCTAAGAAAGAGACTACGTTATGGTTTATTGACTTATTCAAGTTTTGATGGCATCTTTAATTTTATTTTTTCATTGCAGTTGAGTAGATGTACTGGTGCTGCTCCTTTGTATGTGTGGATGTGTGTGACAACGTTAAAGAAGGCTCTGTAACTTGAAGGGGAAAAAACATGGTGTGTTTATTTAATGACCAGAAGTTTTTTTACTTCTCCCAAAATCAGGGTCCTACTATGAGTCTTTCCTGATAAAAGGTATCAAGTACAAATGGGAAAATACATACATAACTAGATGTAAGATAGCCTTTGATTAATTAATTTACCCAGAGAATGTTCAAAGTTTGATTAAAGCTGTATGTTTTGTTGTTGTAAGTTTTTTCATAACAAATCTTCCTTGCCAAAAAAAAAAAAAAAATAGATAATAAACCTTAGCTCATTGTCTACTTTTGACAAACACTCAGGTGCCTACAAACATTCTATTATCTTGAGATAATACATGTTCCTAGTTCATTTACAGATTCTGCTGGGTAACTTTTATGACTTGATTTAAGGCAGTGGATTTTCATAGCAAAATTTATTTTGCACATAATCTGACAAACAAGGAAAACAGCTAACAGAGCTGAAAGGTCTAACACTCTTGGGCTCCTTAACCATCAAGTAAGTGCTGCCCACACAACTGCTCCTAGCCCTGATTCCTTGTCTTTGTCAGGTAGCCTTAACTTATTTAAAACCATAAGGGTTTGACCTTTTCATGTCAAAATATCTGCAGCTTCTCTTCAACACAAAAATGACCCTCGCTGTTAACACAAAGGACAGTTACCAGTGTAGGGCATTGAGAAAAGAGATCCAGGAGCCACTCAGCTCATTGAGCGGACATGGGTGGCACTGAAATGGAGTGGTCCATCAGAGACCCACTGGTAAGTCGTAAAGCACATTGCAGGAGCTTTCGTCAGTCATATACGCCTATTAAGTAGTGGTCGCTATTACCAAAGCAACCAGGACGTTTTGTGTTCTTTATATGAGTGCTGTTTTCCACAGTGTCATTTATTATGCAAGGTGGAGTAAAGAGTTTGAAATCTTCACCAAAATAGGGATTCAGGTGA